GTATATCTTTATTAAATGGTTGAATCGATGACATTTCATGCTCTATCCCCTCTAATGCCAAATTGGTGCTTATTCCTAGCCACTCGAGTATATTTTACATCTTAAACATGCAGCAATCAACTCAAACTTGAAAGATACTTTGAACCAAATGGGAACCAGCTAAACACTAAGATTTTGTTGTACTAGGAATCTATATGATTACTTACAAAATGACAAGTAATAGTATACATTACGAGAAATCAAAAGGGCACACTAGGAAAAGTTTACTTATATATGTTTGGAACATATGGTTTCAGTTTTTCTACTATATGCTATTTTTCTCATTAATGTACGTACAATCAGCTAATTCTACATATTATGTTGACATCCATTGTCTTCGATCCTCAACAAAACTACACCTCATCATAGTATACAAGGTAGTTGATTTGTCCTTTAACTCCAGAATTCCAACCAAGTGGGACTAGGTAAAAAGCTAAAGCAAGGATTTGGTTTAGTGCACGGAATCTACAGGATTACTTACAAAAAGAGCTAGTGGATGTCTTGGAAAAGCTAAAAGCGTAACAAATATTGGAAAGGGAAGATATGGTTTCATGTTTTTACTACCATGCAAACAAGAGCTATTTTCCACTTGATTTTATTTGATTTGACAAGGTTATAATCCTAATACTTCGTAACGCGTGGGGTCCATATATGTTTGAATTTAAATTAACAAAAAAGCAAATATGTGATCCTACATGGGAATGATCTAAGGTGAAATCTCAAACTACTTGAACTAGTATACTTATAGACGATTTGGTCATGTATCTAGAATTGATATGAAAGTACTCATAGTTTCTGGAAAAGAGGCAAAGCTAAAGCACACGTAGCGAAAAGTAGCCAATATATGGTGTACAAATTTATATTTACAAGACCCAACTAGTACTTTTTTATACCTTTTGGTATCATTTTCCGTATTGCTAATCAGTTCAATCTCAATCGACCTGAAATAATAATGGCAGGCACTGATCTCTCCTTGCCAATCATGTATGTAATACGTGCACATAGAATATAGTCATAAAAACTTTGA